ATATGTAATAGCTCATGCTGCCAACAAGTTGGCAGGCTCTACGCTATAGAACAGAAGCTCTGGAATGCAATAGCTCATACTGCCAACAAGTTGGCAGCCTATGGACGAAATTACAGAGTTCCAGATGTAGTAGCTCATGCTGCCAACAAGTTGGCAGGCTCTACGCTATAGAATAGAAGCTCTGGAATGCAATAGCTCATGCTGCCAACAAGTTGGCAGTCTATAACTGAAGTTACAGGATTCCATATGTAATATCTCATGCTGCCAACAAGTTGGCAGGCTCTACGCTATAGAACAGAAGCTCTGGAATGCAATAGCTCATACTGCCAACAAGTTGGCAGCCTATGGACGAAATTACAGAGTTCCAGATGTAGTAGCTCATGCTGCCAACAAGTTGGCAGGCTCTACGCTATAGAATAGAAGCTCTGGAATGCAATAGCTCATGCTGCCAACAAGTTGGCAGTCTATAACTGAAGTTACAGGATTCCATATGTAATATCTCATGCTGCCAACAAGTTGGCAGGCTCTACGCTATAGAACAGAAGCTCTGGAATGCAATAGCTCATACAGCCAACAAGTTGGCAGCCTATGGACGAAATTACAGAGTTCCAGATGTAGTAGCTCATGCCGCCAACAAGTTGGCAGGCTCTGCGCTATAGAATAGAAGCTCTGGTATGCAATAGCTCATACTTCCAACAAGTTGGCAGACTATAAAAAAAGTTGGAAGCTTCCAGATGTAGTAGCTCATGCTGCCAACAAGTTGGCAGGCTCTACGCTATACAGGGTGTTTTGAGTGACTCGGAGAACAAATTTAACCACATATACTGAAAATGATACATAAAGGTATAATAAACATGAAAAGTACATAAAATAACAAGACAAGTAATAAAAAATACTAAAGGAAATGTTCAAAAACTTAGATTTCTTTTTTTTTTAGTGCTATTATTGGATTCGGAGCCTAACATTTTTGCATTTAATACGAAAACGATGGTTATTATCAATATTCTCTAAGAGTGATAAAAGTTTCTAAACTAAATTTACTATTGTGAAACTGCAAAAGTAAATATAGGGTTATGATAGAATAAAAAAGTTCTGAGCAAACAAACTTTAGGAACAGCCTGTATAGCATTGTTCCAGCGTACCGATCCAACTCAAAAATTGCCTAATGATTTTACGTGATATTAGTTTACACTGTACCAAATTTCAACGCTTTACCATAAATAGTGTTTAAGATATTTAGAAAAATGTGTTAAAATTTCTTAACTTTGATGGCTTGTATGGGTTACATTTGTTCCCTGAGTTACCGAAACACCCTGTAGAACAGAAGCTCTGTTATGCAATAGCTCAAGCTGCCAACAAGTTGGCAGCCTATAAGCGAAGTTACAGGGTTACAGATGTAGTAGCTCATGCTGCCAACAAGTTGGCAGGCTCGACGCTATAGAATGGAAGCTCTGGTATGCAATAACTCATGCTGCCAACAAGTTGGCAGGCTCTACGCTATAGAACAGAAGCTCTGGAATACAATAGCTCATGCTGCCAACAATTTGGCAGCCTATGGACGAAGTTACAGGGTTACAGATGTAGTAGCTCATGTTGCCAACAAGTTGGCAGTCTATAATTGAAATTACAGGGTTACAGATGTAGTAGCTCATGCTGCCAACGAGTTGGCAGGCTCTATGCTGTAGAATAGAAGCTCTGGTATGTAATATCTCATGCTGCCAATAAGTTAGCAGGCTCTACGCTATAGAACAGAAGCTCTGGAATGCAATAGCTCATGCTGCCAACATGTTAGCAGCCTATGGGTGAAGTTACAGGGTTACAGATGTAGTAGTTCATGCTGCCAATAAGTTGGCAAGCTCTACACTATAGAATAGAACCAACATGTTGGCAGCCTATGGACGAAGTTACAAGATTACAGCAGTGACATGATTATTAACTGGACTGAGCGTTCCGCATAGTTCCCGTGTAAAGGAGTGATGCCAATAGGTTAGGCAACCAACAGTGATCATTGTAGGCAAAAGCAACCGGCCACACGGCAAGGTTAATGCTATTGCGGGGCTGATAAATGCGCAAATAAGAAAAATACCCTTCTACTATGCAATTTTTTGAGCTGCTGTACCTTTATCAGTAACAAAATGACAAAGTACCTGTTTATAAACAAATTTAAAATTTCGACGAAAATCATTTTTTTTAATAATATTTTAAAACATTTTAATAATGTCATTTTAGATATTCACATGAAGCAACTTGCTTATACTTGTCTTATTATGGTATTTTAGTAAGAGCGCTTTCGTATGGCGCGGCCCGGCTTTTGCCTACAATGGCAAATGTTGGTTGCATACAATACTGGCATCACTTTATTCGGCGAACACGCAGTCCAGTTGATAACGATGTCACTGGGTTACAGATGTAGTAGCTCATGCTGCCAACAAGTTGGCAGGCTCTATGCTATAGAATAGAAGCTGTGGTATGCAATAGCTCATGCTGCCAACAAGTTGGCAGCCTATAAAGAAAGTTGCAAGCTTGCAGATGTAGTAGCTCATGCTGCCAACAAGTTGGCAGGCTCTGTGTTATAGAATAGAAGCTCTGGTATGCAATAGCTCATGCTGCCAACAAGTTGGCAGCCTATAACTGATGTTACAGGGTTCTATATGTAATATCTCATGCTGCCAACAAGTTGGCAGGCTCTACGCTATAGAACAGAAGTTCTGGAATGCAACAGTTCATGCTGCCAACAAGTTAGCTGGCTCTACGCTATAAAATAGAAGCTCTGATACACAATAGCTCATGCTGCCAACAAGTTGGTATCCTATAATCGAAATTACAGAGTTCCAGATGTAGTAGCTCATGCTGCCAACAAATTGGCAGGCTCTACGCTATACAATAGAAGCTCTGGTATGCAATAGCTCATGCTGCCAACAAATTGGCAAGCTATAAGTGAAGTTACAGGGGTCCAGATGTAGTAGCTCATGCTGCCAATAAATTGGCAGGCTCTACGCGAAGACCCATGGCTAAAACCCGAAACTTTCTAGTTCTAGATCTAGCGTTAGTTCTAATTTTAATAGTTATTCAGCACTAAATTGTTTTGTATTTTAGAACTAAAAGTAGAACCAACACTAAACCAAGTAACTAAATAAATAATTTTTTTTGTTGTAGTTTAGATGAAAGTTTAGTAATATGCGACAACTCCCTCCTAATCCAAAAAGAAGATCAACACTTCCAAGAAATAGTACCAAAATCGCCCCACATAGAAGTCCAAGACCCAACATTTATGAAAACAATGGAATTTTCAAAATTCCAATCATCAACGAAACCGACTCAAGAAGAAATTCATCATCACATGGTGAAAAGTACTTCGAGTGATACCGCCATGTCTTTGGGAACTCCAGTTTCGGCAAGTGAAGTGGCCGCAGCACTTTTAGGGGCATCGACAAGTTCTTTGTGTGGATTTCGTCGTCATAAACGAATCGAGGAAGAAGATTTAAGTACACCTTATAATCACTATAAATGTTTGAGTCCTAAAGATCGCGTTGGAAAATTGTTAAGGAGACAGTTTAGTTTGGATAGAACGGAAGAAATTAATAACGAAGGGAGTCAAAATGTAAAAATTTAATTAAATTTTGTTTGAATTAATTTGATTTTTAATTAATTATTTTTTAGATTAGTCCAAGATTGTGTAAGCAAAATTCCGCTGGCGCTGCGGATTTAGATAAAATAGAGGAGGCGTCTCCGAGAGGTCTTTCTTTAAGTCCACCATCGGTTGTTGCTACTCTTCATGGTACACTTTCGATTTCTGTAGATTCGTTAATTCATTGAAAAAGATTATTTTGAATTTAAATTAAAAATGAAATAATCGATGGATTCCTTTTTTTGATAATAGACAATCACTTTTTAGTGTTGGGGCGTCCTCTTTTGTACGGTAGAGGAACGAAAAGTTCCTAATAAAGAAAACTTTAAAATAGACAATCTGTATATTGTATAGGTTTTAATCGATTTTAAAAAATAACAAAGAAAATTAAAAAATACGTATTACCAAAAATTTTTTTTATTGTTTTTAAATACATCTCTAATAATTCCATATAAACCAACATATCAACCGTGTTAAAAAAATAAACTTGTTAAACAATATTAAATAATAAGATATCAAAATTGTTAAAACATATGATAATATAAAATAATTGTTAAATAAATAAGTTAAAGTTAAAAACAAAGTTAGAGATGTATTTAAGAAAGCGTTCTTTTAAAATTTTGTTGCTAAATAAAAATCAAATAAAAATGAATTTTAATAATAATAATAATAATAAAAGACGATGTGAGGTTGTCAATCCAATTTTTTCACTTATAATTATACCTTATTTAGAAACTAGGATGATAAAATTCTCTTTTAGTTAACTTTCAAAAATCATTTCAAATTAAACTTAATAAACAAAAAGACATTTTTGATTTATCTCAACTTATCTTTCTAGTTTTAATGAGGTATAGTATAAATATTTAAAAATAAATGTGAATACGTGTTCCCTTTTCCATTAAAAAACACGAAACATCATGCACAAAACTAAAATAACAACACAACAATGAATCTGACGAGATCGTAAATGTATTTTTATTGAAAAATAACATGTATAACGTATAAATAATAACAAAAAAGACAAAAAAAACTGTTAACCTGTCGTGAATATAGCAATAAAAAGACGTGTTTTTCTTTAAATCGTTTTTCTTTTTACTACATGGTACTTATAACCACTTCTATGGGGACTCCATTTATCACGGGTTTAAAAAAGATTTCTTCAATCGACGTTGATGAAATTGAAAAAAGGATTGGAATGCACAAAAGTAATTTGTTGTAATTTTTTGTGTCCTAAAAAATTATTTTTATCAATTTATCTCAAATTTGTTACTTACAAGGGAAGTGTCACAATTGTGTCTTACAGATTTCGATAGTCAGACGTGCGGAAAAAGATCCTAGTAGTGTGGTTTTAGAAAGGTAAGAGAAACGATGGACCAGATTTTTATTGTCAGGCAGACATTTGAAAAATGTTACGAGCACACCACTGATCTCCATGCTCTGATTTCCGCAGGGATTTTGACAGCATACTCAAGAAAAAGTTATGTCTTTTCATGGAGCGAAGTGGCATACCAAAAAAAATTGTCAGATTGACAAGAGCTACGCTACAGAATGCTAAGGCAAGAGTTTTTGCGGATGAATGCTGTGGCAGAGAGTTCATATTTAGTAGAGGGGTAGGACTAAGTCTTAAATTAAGTCATAAAAATAGAGAATATATTTAATGCCTCTATCTGACAACATTGGATTCAACTGATAGCAGTAGTTCGGGAATTCAGAAGCTAACACTGTGTTCTTCCCACCCTGCCATCACAACCCCCAGAACACCGTCTAGCTTATGATGCATCATTGAAGTCTATAGTCCCAGTGAACTTCAATTGAAAGTGTGAAATATTTTTGTTAATAGCTAGTTTCGTAATGGAAAGAAATAGAACAGCTGATGCGACATTTCGGCCCTCCACCAAAAAAAAACTGGAGGACTGAATGCAAAATGGCCAAAACTAGAAGAATAGATTCAAGGACGTCGTCAAAATGTCATTGGAATTAATACAAACATGATTCAAATACACGCTCGTAAGTTAGGTGGAACAAACTTTGAAGGGTGGAGTTGGTTGGTGCTATAGGTTTATGAAGCATCATGGACTCAGTATGCATGCGAACCAAAATATCAGAATCAGAAAATGCCACAAACGTGTGGAGAGAAAATATTATCTTTTCATAGCTTTATTATTCAACATTGAAATAAAACTACTGTGGAAATAAGCCCATAATGACTAAATTTCTCTGACATTTGATGTGCCCAGTGACAGAACTGTTGCCATGAAAGATGCTAAAACTTTATCTTATATATCTTTATATTTAGTGGACATGAAAAAGAAAATCATGAATCTGAAATATCTATATCTATATCTTCGAAAATTAACTCAATCATAACTCATAAACTAAAAGCGATTGGGAAATATTTTCTATACATAAAACCTTCGCAATGGACCATAAAAACTAGATCTATAAAAAGATTGAACCCAATTATTACCATTTTTTATTTCTTAAGCTTTAAACCGATTAAACATCAAAATTGTTGATTTTCGAAAAATAACTCAATCATAACTCATAAACTAAAAGCGATGGGGAAATATTTTTTATACATAAAACCTTAGTAATGGACCATAAAGACTAGATCCATAAAAAGATTGAACCCAATTATTACCATTTTTTATTTATAAGCTCTAAATCGATTAAACATCAAAATTGTTGATTTTCGAAAATTAACTCAATCATAACTCAAAAACTAAAAGCGATGGAGAAAAACTTTTTATACATAAAACCTTAGTAATGGACCATAAAGACTAGATCCATAAAAAGATTGAACCCAATTATTACCATTTTTTATTTATAAGCTCTAAATCGATTAAACATCAAAATTGTTGATTTTCGAAAATTAACTCAATCATAACTCAAAAACTAAAAGCGATGGAGAAAAACTTTTTATACATAAAACCTTAGTAATGGACCATAAAGACTAGATCCATAAAAAGATTGAACCCAATTATTACCATTTTTTATTTATAAGCTCTAAATCGATTAAACATCAAAATTGTTGATTTTCGAAAATTAACTCAATCATAACTCAAAAACTAAAAGCGATGGAGAAAAACTTTTTATACATAAAACCTTAGTAATGGACCATAAAGACTAGATCCATAAAAAGATTGAACCCAATTATTACCATTTTTTATTTATAAGCTCTAAATCGATTAAACATCAAAATTGTTGATTTTCGAAAATTAACTCAATCATAACTCAAAAACTAAAAGCGATGGAGAAAAACTTTTTATACATAAAACCTTAGTAATGGACCATAAAGACTAGATCCATAAAAAGATTGAACCCAATTATTACCATTTTTTATTTATAAGCTCTAAATCGATTAAACATCAAAATTGTTGATTTTCGAAAATTAACTCAATCATAACTCAAAAACTAAAAGCGATGGAGAAAAACTTTTTATACATAAAACCTTAGTAATGGACCATAAAGACTAGATCCATAAAAAGATTGAACCCAATTATTACCATTTTTTATTTATAAGCTCTAAATCGATTAAACATCAAAATTGTTGATTTTCGAAAATTAACTCAATCATAACTCATAAACTAAAAGCGATGGGGAAATACTTTTTATACATAAAATCTTAGTAATGGGCGATAAAGACTAGATCCATAAAAAGATTGAAGTCAATTATTACCATTTTTTATTTATAAGCTCTAAATCGATTAAACATCAAAATTGTTGATTTTCGAAAATTAGAGTGGCTATTATCCTGAAGTTATTAATGAAGTAACTCCATTAGACACTAATTTTAAACACTCGTCTATACTTGCAGGGACAACATTTGGTTTCAGAATATGGACAAATTTTATTGAAAGATTTTCTAATTAAATTATTCTTCACCACTATGTTAATTTACATCATAGGGATCTCCTCGAAGAGGAAATTGCAATAAGCAGTACTGGAGTTGTCAAAAACTCTAAAAGGGCATGACGATGAACAAGGTTGATGGACAATTTCTCACCTAAATCAGCAGCTATCAATATTTGGACGCAATAATCTACCAGACAGGCAAGCTTACTGAAGAGATCAGAAACAGAGTGGATAAAGCTACCAAGGCTTACTATACTCTGAATCGGTGTGTGCTTAGAAAGGATTAAGAAAGCCGGAAGGCCAAAACAAGGGTTTATGAAGCGGTCATTTAGCTTCTACTTACCTGTAACAGTGAAAGCTGGACAACAAATAAAAAGGACACTAGTAGGGATAAATTAAATCGGATGGTTGCAGGAAAGACATGATGGGACAGAATGATTTAAGATAGACAGCTGTTCTTCTTTGGCCACGTAAGACGAATGGGAAAGGTGAAGAAAACAACATGGGAAGAGGCTTTGGCGCATGAAGGCTATGAAGCAGCTCAAGGGTCTTGCTGAGAAGAGGGAAAACTTGAAAAGATAGCCAACCTTATTTTGGTCCAGTACCAAATTTCATCAAAATCGATGAGACATAATTGTGACACTTAACAAGAAAGTTAAAAAAAATTACATGAATTTTTTTGAGTAAATCCCACAATTTTTTTTCAATAATCCAACTTTCTTTATCATCATTAACCAAATCTTTTCGAAACACCAAAAGATCCTCCATCATTTTAAACCCATCATCGTTTATTTTCAAAGCTTTAATATTTTTATAAGCCCCCAATAAAATCGGCAACGAAATTAAATCATTTATTTCATCGTTTATTGCCGTTAAAACAAACAAAGCGTTCCAAGTTTTTGCCAAAATTTCGTTTTGAGATTTTCTCCCAATACAAGAAAATGTGTCTTTCTTCCGAATATTTTTAATCGTTTTTATTAAATTATGAGCGGCTAATTCGTAACGGTACGTTTCTAAATTTAAAAAATTGAATTGAATGGGGTAATATTGATGTGAATATTTAGGTTTTCTTGGTCCGCGTTCGTCTTGAACTGCAGAGGTATTCATTTCAACTGCGAAACATTTTTGTAGTCTACAATAAGGGCACCAATTTCTACGAGCTTTATCCACGATACAACAACCATTACCAGCTAATAAATTTAATTTAATTTAATTTAATGTTGAGATAAAATGGTGAGAATGTAATTAATAACTTACATATACAAGTGTAGATGATATTTTTTCTAATACTTCGTTTAAAAAAGCAGGAACAACCATCGCAACAATAAACACCGTAATGTTTTCCAAAAGATTTATCCCCGCATACTCGACATGGAACCGGGGCTGGTAAAGTTCTCCCTATTTAGATTTTTTTTGTTAAATAATAATTTTTTTATATCAAAACTTACCCATAACGCTTCTAGTTATCGAACTAACTGAAAAAATCGTTGAATCACAATCTTATATACCTACCGTTAAGGCAAACCCTCTTTTTATCTACTACTCTTTGTCGTTTAAATGCAAACAAATCAGGATCGGTTGGGGTCATGGTTTTTGACGTTTTTGACACATCTAACAATGTCGTTAGAGGTGAGCGAAGCACGAGTTGAGTGCTCAATTAATATTTCAAGGGGTTAGAAAAAAAAACGTTTATGGACAGGATTTTTTGTATTTGAAGTAAAATAATTACGATGACGCATACTTTACAAAATAAAAGAAATTTTTTTTAGTAGTATGTATAATTTTTTTTTTATTTTTTAGAGATACTAAATCAGTACAACAAAGAAAAATAAAACGATTATTAATAATACTTGTATTTACAACACATTAAATGTGGGGTAAGTCTACCGAAATATCGTAAAATAATACAGTATTAATATATACATTTTGTTCGACTGTTTTTTTTTTTTATTAATAAATAATTAAACCGAAAAATATTATTTTATAAAACTTAGTTTGCAAATTAAATTATTTGCTAACTTCACAAATGTTATGACAGCTAACGTCATAAATGTCATTTGACGTTATAACCTCAATTTTTATCTCGGACATCATTTTATAATGTAATTTGCTTTCTAATCACCGATCATTTCTACGTAAATTCATTTTCGTTCAGATTAGCCAATCTCATTTTATTGCGAGTTAAATGAAAAAATTACTCACTTTTCAAAGTTGCCGAAAGTTATCTGAACTTTATGATTTTTTTCTCAGTAACTACATTAATAAGTTGTGTAAGTCGAGCTAATTTTAAATTCTCCTTTTCATTTAACTCGCAATCAGATGTAATCAGCTATTTTATATAGAAATGATTACAATGAAGTTTGCTGCAGATTATTTCATCGACTGGTTACAGAAATTTCAATCCTCATAAACTGAAACATTTTATGCATTTACAGTAAAACCTCGATATAACTGACAAAATATTTTTAAATCGTCAATTAAGATGTTTCGCATTCTGCAGCTTATTTTTGAAGATGCTGAAAAAAAAATGTAGTTGTTGATACACCGCCTGAAAGAAATTACGAAACCGATGACGATGACATACAAGAAGATCGTATTGACGATGATATACGTGTAGAAGTTCCTTGCGAAATAGAGTTATTTGCTGCCGAAGCTACTGACACTGACTCAGACTCAGAAGACGATTTTCGTTTGGCACACATATAAAGCCGTCTTGGTAATGAGTTAGCAAGCAAAAAACCCAAACTGATAGTTAAAAATTTTTTCTGGACAGAGGACATTATACCAATTGACATGGCAAGTAATAAAATCTAAAAAGTGAAATGTTAAATCTTAGTTCTGTTGAAATTTTTGAGAAGCTTTTTGATGCTGAAGTGTTATGACATAACTAATTATCGCGGAAACTATTCGATACGCAAACCAAAAAAACAATCATGCAATTTCAGTCATGAAATTTATGATTTTATTGGTTTTCTTTGGTTTACTGGGTGCCATCGGCTACCCACGGAAAAATTGAATTAGAATGCTGATGAAGATCTATCTCACGTAACAAATATTATGACACAAAAAAATATATTCCACTTACTACTAATGATGAGATCCAAAAAGACGACTAAATATTCAAGCTTTGACCTTTGATGACCATCTTGAACAAAAAAATCCAACAATAGGGTATTTTTCATCGAAATGGCGAAATATTATGAATACCAACTTCTACACAGTTTATCCGTGGAAAGCCAGATTTGAATTTAAAGACTGGATGCTTTGTAATTCCACTGGTTATTATTACAAATTTGACACATACTGCGACAGAAAACTGCAACTAAATGGCACAAATAAGTCTCCTTTGCTGAATGAGAAAGAAATGAAAAAGGATCACATAAATAGGGAAACATAAATATGATAGCGAAAACTTGCTGTTATTATATGTCCACAGCAAAAGCCTCTTAAGATCCTAGTCTGGTGCGATTCAAGTCGTTCTCCGAAAAAGATTGAAAAGCAGTTAAAGATGTCATGTTTGTCAAATGCAGTCAAGATGGACTTATATCAAATGCTATGTTACATTATATTTAGAAAGAAATGACGTAGAATCATTGTTAGGCTTGATAAATTGCACATAACCTATAACGTCATCATCGATTTTTTCAATAGTTTTAACAACACTCGTTAAAAATGAGCTTAAAAAAATTGATTTCTCCTAAACGGTTAAAAGTTAAGAAATGAAATTTTTTGAGGTTATAAAGGAACGTTTGAGGTTAGGTTGTACCAAATTATAACCTTCCAAGGTTATAAACTTTTGTTATACAAAAATTTAAAACTTTCCTATTAGATTTGACGTTTAAAAATGAGGTTAAAAACATAGTTTTCTTCTAACCGGTTAAGATTTAAAAAATGAAATATTTTGAAAGAACGTTTGAGGTTGGTGGTGGTAGAGGAGAGTAGAGGGTTTGGGCGTATGTATTGTATTATTGGTGTAAACATTGTAAACGTGTTGTATGCAACACCTACTTATTATTATTAAGAACGTTTCAGGTTAGGTTGTACCAAATTGTAAGCTTCCAGGGTGATAACTTTATACAGGATGTTTCTGTAAGTAGTGGCATAATATTAAATAAATAATCACAAATACTAGAGTCAACACAATGACGATTCGTGTAAAAATTTTTGGAATGTCTAGGATATGGACTTTCAAAGTTAAGAAATTTTTAAACATTGTCTTGAATGTTTTCTATAACTACGAGATCAATGCTATACAGGGTGTTCACAAAGGTTATTCCTATTATATCCTCAATATTTGTTTATTATGTCGTATACCCTTACATTTTCCAACTGATTTTAAAATCCCATTTCATTTTAAAGTTATTTTCACTCTTAGAAATTTTTGATTGGACGCATCGTTTTAGAGTTATTCACAAAAAGATACAACCTCGTTTTTGAGATATTCGTAGGCACCCATAAAAACAAATCATTAGTAAAGCAGTCTGTCAAATTGTTATCTAACGTAGCGCAAAAAGATTTTTTCTAAAAACGCAGCATCAGTAGTACCTACATTTTTCCATCATAGTACAGTACCGGATGATCAGCAATTTTTAATTCTTGTACTGTTAAGTACAAGACAAGTGGTATAGATAGGTACAGTTGCTATTCGTGTAGGATACGTCAAGCTGTACTTTTGGATATTTCGAAATGTCTTCTTATTTATCAACAGTACTAACACGATCTGCCATAAAATCCAAAATGTTTTGCATGAAATTTTTTGCAATATCATCTCTTCGCTGCGCATTGACCCCGAGGCTGCATATTTTTAAAAGTGATCTTAAACGACTTCTCATGATAACATTGCACAGTTTGCCAAATTTTATCTTTCTAAGATAAACCATATTAAAAATATTTAAGAAAATGTTTAAAACTTTCTTATCTTAGAAGACTCATATCGTAGCCATTTATGGGCTTAGACCAAAAATTTTTACACGAATCGTCATCATTTTGACTCCAGTATTTGTGATTAAAATTATGCCACAACTTACAGAAACACTCTGTACAAATTTCAAAATTTGACGTTGAAAAGTGAGGTTAAAGTAAAAAAACAGTGTTAATTAGCGCCAAAATGTGTTAATTAATGTGCACTATGTTGCACATTTTTATTGAACTAAAACTAGAACTAACACACAAGATGCACGGCTAAACTCGGAACTTTCTAGTTCTAAGTCTAGTGTTAGTTCTAGTTTTAATGGCAATTCAGTGGTAAGTTGTTGTATATTTTGATTGAACTAAAAGTAGCCGTCTTAAGAGACGTGCGGCTAAACCCGAATGTTTCTAATTCTAGATCTAGTGTTAGTTCTAGTGTCAGTGCTAAGTAGTGCCAGTCAACACTACATAGCGCTAGGTTGTGTATTGTTATTGAACTAAAACTAGAACTAACACTAGACCTAAAACTAGAAACATTCGGGTTTAACCGTGCGTCTTCAGCTAAAACCGAATGTTTCTAGTTCTAGGTCTAGTGTTAGTTCTAGTTTTAATGATAATTCAGTGCTAGATTGTTGTATATTTTTATTGAACTAAAAGTCGAACTAACACTAGACCTAGCACTAGAAACATTCGGGTTTAGCCGCACGTCTCTTAAGACGGCTAAACCCGAATGCTTCTAGTTCTAGGTCTAGTGTTAGTTCTAGTTTTAATTGTTATTCAGAACTAAATTGTTTTATATCTTCATTGAACTAAAACTAGAACTAACACTAGACCTAGAACTAGAAACATTCGGGTTTAGCCGTCTTAAGAGACGTGCGGCTAAACCCGAATGATTCTAGTTCAAGGTCTAGTATTAGTTCTGGTAACAGTGCTATGTAGCGCTAGTTAGAACAAAAATATTATTATGTTGCATATTTGTTTTGAACTAAGACTAGACCTAGAACTGGAATCATTTAGGTTTAGCCGCACATCTCTTAAGACGGGCTAAACCCGAATGCTTCTAATTCTAGGTCTAGTGTTAGTTCCAGTGACAGTGATAAGTAGTGCTAATTAGTACGACGATGACTATGTTGCATATTTTTATTGAACTAAAACTAGAACTAACACTAGACCTAGAACTAAAAAGTTTCGGGTTGGGTCTACTGTTAGTTCTAGTATTAGTTGTTATTCAGTGCTAGATTGTTTACATATTTTTATTGAACTAAAAGTAAAATTAACTAAAAGTTTGTCATATTACGAACTTTTGGTTATAACGGACACTTCCTTCCCCATATTAATCCGTTATATCGAGATTTTACTGTATTAACGCGCGATTAACGGAGGATTAAGTAACCAACATAAATATTTATATTTTGATAATAAAAAAATAAATATTTTTCGCATCAATTATTTATTTATTGATTTCTCCCTAAAAATTTCTTCCTTATTTTAATGATTTTTCTACATCTAATAGTACAATTCAAAAAAAAATTAACTCAGTCTCTATTTTTTTACATGAACACTATTTACCAAAAAAAAAATAAACATAAAAAGGAATTACAAAAAAATATTGCACAGCAATGTTTAAAACGAAATTAAAATTTAATGATTCAATTAAAGTTTATTCACAGTCAAAAAAACTAGGTGCTTTCTTCTTTAAAAAAAAATACATACAAGGGGTTATTTTTTTTACATACAATTTGTATGTAAGCAAAATCGCCCTGTTAAAAAATCAAAAGCTTCTTATTAATTTTTTTAACATTTTAAAAAAGCTCCTAATTAAAAAAAAATAACCTTAATCCTACAAATAAATACACAAATTCTTTTACTTTTCTTTTTAATAAGTCTTTACATTTAAACAAAAAAAATCAAGCCGCGTATACACCAGCAACGATTTTCTAAAAACAAATTTAATCCGCGAAAATTAATTAACTATTTCACGACGACGCCATGAGTTTAGCGGCAGCCGTCACGTGATGTTGATGATGATAAGCGACCTCTGTATTTGCTGGCGAACCGTTCGAAAACCCAAATAATTGTTGGTAAGGGTACGATTGATGGCCGCTACTTTGAATACAATTATAATCATAACTCGGTTCGGTTTTAATCGCGGATGTTGTTGCTGACGAAGGAAGAAGTGATGTGTGCCCTAAATAGGGACGATCTGATAATGGCGATTTTATCGATGATGACACATCAGTACTATGAGATTGCGTCGAATGTGACGAAGAAGATGAATGTTGAGTAGTAGATGGCGGTTGTTGGTGAATTTGGTTATGTTGGTTGGTATGATGGGTTATTACTGATGGTTTTGGATCTAAAAATATCATTTTTTTCTTAAAATAAATAATTGACACGTCATCAACGTTTATCTCTAACACCCTGTATTAGGATATCATGAGTTGGCAAAACTGGAAGGGTCTAACCACGCCTACTTAACCGGTTTTAAAACTAACACCGCCTACTTTATATGGTAACCCAACCTGTTTTCGTTCAAAAGCGAACCCGTTCGTATTTTTAACCAATGAATTCGTGTGAAATAACTTACCGTCCACTGAGGAACTGGCGCTGTCATCGCGATCACCGCCAACTGGTTTCTTCGGTTTACGCTTGCGCGTTTGTATCCCATCTTTACGCATCGCTAACGGTCGATTAACACCGTGTAACTTGAAATAGAGCCCGCAAGCATTACAAACTGGTTCTCCGTCGTTGTTTCTTCTCCAAAGGGTTGTTGTTCGTGTGCCACAATTTGTACAACAAAGTCCTAATCGTCTGGTGGCGGTCTGCTTAATTAAATAAAAAAAATTGTAATAAAATTAGCTAACTCCATAGTTAATATAAAAATAACCAAATTAATTAAAACTGTCAGTTTGACGTTGACACATCTAACTTCACAGTTATTATAAAAATAACCAAACAAATTAAACTGTCACTTTGACGTTGACATATTTAACATATTTTAACAACATAACCTAGTTTTTTATGGAAATTGATACCGAGAATGTGCATTTAAGTGGAACCCTCACGTTTTTTATCTAACAGGTTAAATACTTTCAAATCAAAACGCATTTAAACCTTTTTTTCTTCTAGATTATTGACTAATGTTATTTAAAACTTACCAATCTTTTAGATGGTTTGATTAATGGTCTATTCATTCCGTTCATTTTATGATATAAACCGCATGCGTTGCAAAGGTAATGTCCGGTTCCGTCGCGTCTCCACAACGGAGTCGAAATAGCGCCACAATTGACGCATTCTCTGCCCTCGCCGAAAGGAAATTCCATCGGACCATCTGCAAATGAAGGAAAAAATTTTAAAATCTCAAATCAATTACCATCAATCATCTTTTTAATAACCAAAAAAATCCATCACGTTCAAAAGTACTTCCTGTTAATATCTAAAATAGCTCGATTTAATCTTAACCTTTAAATATTTAACAGACTCAAACGAGGATCTGGTGCCTTCAAAGAAAAAAAAAATAGAGATAAAAGATAAAGGATGTTTTACATCCACTTAGAATTTTTTTTTCTTTACCCCTCATAAAATTGTTACCTTAGTTTGAAAAAGTAGATGAAGGTTGAATTTTTTTGATAACTTAAATATCATTATTAACAATAAATATCTTTATCATTTGCAGAAGAAGAAATCATGGTCAGAAGCAACCTATCATAGATGAGGAGTTAAATTATTCTGTGCAGAAGGAAAATTTCTTTTTAGACACAAAATTTCATAGTTGGAGTTGGATCGAGATCATTTGCAGAAAAATATATCGTAGCCAATTATTAAGTATCTAGATTATATACACAAGATAGATATCTATATATTTAGATCATCACATGTTCAGAAGCAAAATATCATAAAGATAGAAAGAAGACAGTAAGTATCATGGACAGGAGCAGATTATTTAGGACAGAGATCATATCGAGGTCATTTGCAGAAGAATATATCGTAGCCATACGTAAAGTATCTAGATTATAAGATAGATATCTATATATTTAGATCACAACGTATTCAGAAGCAAAATTCCATAAAGACAGAAAGAAGATATCATGCGCAAGACGAAGCTATCGTTGGTAGAGGTAAAATATTATATGCAGAAGCAAAATTTCTTGTCACACACAAAATTTCATAGCTGGAAATAACAAAACGTAGATAAGTATTATAGACAGAAGCAGAATATTTGGGACAAAGGTCATTTGCAGGAGATTATATGCACAAGATAGATATTTATACATTAAATTTTTATTTGTTTTTTATAATGTAGGCACATACATAAAGTTTTGTTTTACACAGTTTTGAAGATCAAATCAGGTAGGTGACGTCCCCCATTATCTATACACTGAATAAACCGATTTCTGGAGTTTGTCATTACTCTTGCCAGTATAGCAGGAGTTATGTTGGCAATTTCTCCCTGTTCGTGATGATGGTGATGTTGGTCTTCAAATCTTGTAGGGTCCTTGGACGGTTCACATAAACACGGTATGTCAAAAAACCCCATAGGAACTGCAAATCGCCCCTAATTGAGATTAGAAGTTTTGGGAAGTGTTCCCTCAAAACAGCCATCGATGCTCTTGAAGTATGAGCACTGTCTTGTTGGAACCAATGTCCCCTAAGTCCAACTCATCTAGCCATGGTGATCGCAACACTAAAGTTCTCAATGTTCTCAGGTACTCAATGGGACTCCAGTTCTTCGTCTTGTCGCACTTGCAGTTTGTCTGAACGTAGTGACCCACCTAACAATTGATTTCCGATATGGGGCAGGGGCCAACGGGGCTAAATTAAAGCGATTCCGAAAGGCACATTGGGTTGCGATCACAAAATATCCGCTCGAAAAGTAAGCCTCAACGGAAACGCACGCTCCTCACTGTTCCAACGCATGATGGCGCCTTAACTTTGTGGAAGCAAAACTTTATAGTCCATCCTCTCGAAGATGACCATTAGCGCTCCACTACGACATCAATCGACTAAATGGCGCACATTTCAAAAAAGGAATTTATGTTGCCGCACCTTGTATTTAGATCATCTCGTATTCAGAAGCAAAATATCACGAAGACAGAAAGATAGACAGAAAGGACAGAAATATTACGTGCAGAAGCAAAATTTCTTGTCAGAAACAAAATTTCATGGTTGGAAGTAACATATCGTAGGTAAGTATCATGGATGAGAGCAGAACATTTGAGACAAAGTACGTAGTAGCCCTACATACAGTATCTAGATTATAAGATAGATATCTATATATTTAGACCACAACGTATTTAGAAGCAAAATATCATGAAGACAGAAAGAAGATATCATGTGCAGGACGAAGCTATCGTAAGTAGAGGTAAAAAATTATATGCAGAAGCAAAATTTCTTGTCAAACACAAAATTTCAAGGCTGGAAATAACAAATCGTAGGTTAATATCATGGACAGAAGCAGAATATTTAAGGCAAAGATCATTTGCAGGAGAATATATCATAGCCATACGCAAAGCATCTAGATTATATGCACAAAATAGATATCTATACTATATTCAGAAGCAATATATCATGAAGACAGAAAGAATACATTATGCGCAGAACAAAGCTATCGTAGGCAGAGATAAAATATAATGTGCAAAATGTAATATATAGGTGCAGAAGAAAATATGCGCAAAAGCAACAAGTAGCGTAAGAGTTACTCTTAACCTCGCTACAACTGTTGATGACTGTCTTTCTTTAAATATTACAGTTTGTAGTAGATCATAAAATGTAAAAAAAATAGTGGCATTTTTAGATGGAATAAAATTCGACTTTTTACACTTTTCTGATGGATTTGTTTTATTTTCGGTTCTAACAATTTCAATTTAATTATAAATCATCTCCAGAAAAACCTGAATCACCTAATACAATGTCAAAGATTTAGATGGGCCAGTGTAGTGGAAAATAGCTAAAGGATTCGGATGGTTAATAGCAAAGGCTCTGCAAAAATCCTACAAAATCATCAGAATAGTAGCACGCCTTTGGTCAATAGTTTCATAAATATTGTCCGTAACGTCGAATATTAATAATTAATTAATAGGCAGAATATTAAAACTCTTAAGATTGGTCTATTGAAAATAACTTTTTTATAAAGCTACCTTCAAAAATTCTAGGAATATAGACTGTTCAGAACAATAATTGACTTGAAAATTAGTCTGAAATCTCAAAAATTGTCATTTATTTGATTGGTGGCACTAATGGAACATGGTATAAACTAGATTGTTCCATGTAGTGATGGTGACAAAGTTACATTCGTTGTTACATAACTTTCCACAATTTTAGCTATTCGTTGGGATTAACCCTACATTCCACCAGTTCAGATAAAGTGTAAGATCAGAATAATACACTGATAAAATACTTTTCAAAGTGATATTGAAGCAACGACAAAAAAATATCAATTTATTGGATCGATGTCCCAACCTTACTCTTTTGAATGTAGTCTACACCAGGTGTAAAAAACTCTGGACTAATTTATACCAACCCAACCAACTCTATGTGAGTGCAAAATTTGTAGTGTGGAAGTAACATAGCACTTGAAAGTAATTAAACGGTGTTTGGAATCAAAGGTTGAGGATTGCTAATACGCATTTTTGCATTTATTGTCAATAAAATAAATCTCCATAAGATTTGCGATGACCAAGATGATGGATTGCAAAAAACCAAAAAGCAAAGAGCAATTAATACAGTGATTAGTTATTATGTTGCTTCTTCAATAAACATGTTTTCTTTTTGTTTATATCCATCTTTTCCCATTTTTGACATACATACTTCGAAGTCTAATTGTTCATCTTTTGAACATTCGTAAAGGTAATAAACAAAGTTAAGAAACATGTATTTCACATAATTATGAATGTAAGGCTATGTTTATGACTGTTAAAGACTTTGACTTCATACAATTTGCAACACATTTCCTCAATCATGCTTGTAATCACGTCTAAATAAATTCCTGCATCTTTGTAAAATCTTTTGTAAAACATAACGTTTTACGGCAGTAGTTTAAAGAAGAAAATAAAATCGATAGTAAAGGTGTTAATAATGTTAGTGCCAATTTAGATGATAAGAATGAAGTGTAAAGTAGGTTATAAATTATTTTTATTTGCTCAAAATGTAATAAATTTGGAAACTTGAAGCATGATTTATGGAAAACGTAAAGTTTCTAGGTTTTATTGGATTGTTGATATTGGCAGGAGTATACTAACCTCGAAAAGAAGGAATTACGGATTTATGGAAAATGGTAGATGGACACAGTATATTTGATTCTTTTACACTGATGATCTTTGTATAATTTGTATTTAACTGAATACATCGTAGTTATTTATATTTATTATTATTACTTATGCAACAACACAGTATAAATCGCGATGACAGCAAAACATATGATCAAGAGGATGACACCAACCGTAAATAAATAAAATTACCAACGAACCAATTGTACATACCACAAGATGATTAAAATTTAGCATCATGTGTGCATAATTTCAATCTTATTAAACCCGAATAAGATTGTAAATAAGATTAAACGTTATTCCGCGAGAACGAGTTTTATATTTGACATTTGATAACAGAGGTCGCTAGTAGGATCAAATTTTTTAATTAAGAAAACATTAATCATCATTTCAATTTTGGTATTTTATATCAACATAATTATTTAACTTGAAATTTTGACGATTCATTTCATTATATACAGTGATTTAGTTGTTATTTATAAAATTTCTGTATCAATAACCACTAAAATTTTCGATATATTAATACAGATGGCACCACTTGCTAAAATACTCTTTTTATTGGTGATAATAATAATTAAAGAAATCTTATTTTTAATTCTAAAAACATCATAAATGTCATACACGTGATCTTAACTGTTACTTTCCATTTGCTTAATTATCTGATTTGAATTTAATACGACATAAATTTAATTTTACAGTTGAAACTAGGGGATTTAAATGTTACTAAATTTAGGTTGGGGTTCAAATAATTTTTGACATAATCCGAAACGTCAATTTGAAGTAAGTAATTTTCTAATTTTTTTAAGATTAATGAACCTTATCTTTTAATTCTAATTTAATAGATTCTTACCATAAGGTGAAGTTCTTTGAAAACCGGTACCATCGTAAGCTCTCCAAGAATTCATCATCATATTTTGCGCATAAAATTGTCCGGCCGATAAAGCTCCTGCATGAGTTGATGTTGCGCCAAGATGCGCAGATGGACCAGCAACTTCGCCGTAACCACCATGAGCAGCGGCCCAATTGGTTTGATGTGATGGGGCAAAATGGCCTCCGGCAGGAGACGGATATTGATGAGGCATCGCGCGTCCTCCTGCAGCCGCAGCCATAAACACAGCCGGCTGTTGAAGATGTTGATGAAATCCGGCACTTCCATCCGAATAATTCGTCGGCGTTGTACCGGCCGAAGAATGAAACATCTTTACTCAAAAGCAAAGCAAATAAAGTTTCTGAAAAAAAAAGAGAAAAAGATATTAAAAACTAAATTTAAGTTGGAGTTGATTAAAGGGGGTTGTCAAAATGGTAAAATGGGTTCTGGACGAAGAATAAGTGCATTTTGGACGTGGAATTCCTTCTGGTTCGTGGGTAAGATAAGAAAGTTGGAACGTCTGGTGACCTCCGGTAGATGGTTCTTAGCGCGAGTATGTGTCTTTGAGTGTGGGGAAGGAGGCAGGACTGGTCGGGGGGCCATAAACAAATTGATAAGGCTTGGGAGACTGGTTAAGTGGTCCGGCGCGGTTCCTGGAACCCGATGCGGTTCTTGGACTCCTTTTGCTGTCATAGCAAAAAGAAATACAGACCAAAAGACAAAAAGTACGAGTTCGCGAGCTTCCAATTCCGTTCTCTTGTGGACACGACATTTTTTGCTTTTAGATCGACGGTAAACGGGTTTAAACGAAATGTCGACGAAGATGTGGTTATTACATGTCATTTTACACCAGAATTTTTTTCTTATCAACTTTTTTTTTTACTGACTTCAATTTCTGTTAATACAAATACAGTAAAATCTCGATATAACAGACAAAATATTGTTAAGTCATACTATTAATATTATCTATTTAATATGTTAGTATATTTTAATATACATTTTAACGCTTATAAATGGAATCCAATTCGGTAGTTCTAGTTCTAACTGTTATTCAGCGCTAGATTGTTGTATATTTTTATTGAACTAACACTAGACCTAGAACTAGACAGTTTTGGGTTTAGCCGTGCGTCTTCAGAAAACTAGTAATTGCCTAATGTGCAAACTTACAAGTATGCTGTATGAAAGTATAATATTGAATCTGCAACTATGATTTGTAGCCTACAGCTACAGTTTACAATACACAATCTATAATTATGACCTGTATTCTTTATTCTACGTATAATATGCAGTGTGGAGCTGTGCTTTGCAGCTATTTTCTGTAATATTCAGTTTACAGATATGAATTGTAATCTGGAATTTATAGCTCATGTTAGTAATCTGCAAATACAATTAGCTTCAATCTGTAGCTTGATATACGTGTGTAGCTAGAATTTGAACTATGTAGCTTGCGGCATAACTACTGCTATGATATGCTATAGTTCTCTGTTTCAAGTTTGCAACTATTGTTTGTGGAATGCGCCTTGCAACTAGGATTTACAGCGTATAACTACACTTAGAAGTACGTAGTCTGTGGTTAATATGGTGTGTTGAACTAATTGTGTTTACGATGCAGTTATAATTCTGTAGTTTTAGTTAGCTGTCTAAGCATTAGAAAGATTACTATATGCTACCTTTAGCTATATTATGAAGTTTTCAGTGTTTAGTTATGGTTTGCAGTCTGCAATAACTGATTACAATACATTTACATGCAGTCTTAAAAAAATCGCAGCAGCTTCTGTAAAATCAATAAATCAATTGCTTTCAAAATCTTTCAAATTTAAAGAGAAACTGATCAGCTCAATTTCGGAAGATGTCTTCTTAATCACCAATACCATCTAAATTTGTTGCATTGTTGGGTTAGGTTAGGTTAGGTTGGGTTGGGTTCGATTAGGTTGAGTTGGGTTGTGTTGAATAACAGTTTACAAACGTAGCAAGATGCAAATTCTAAACTGGTTAAACACAAAACAGTCCAACGGGAAATAACACAACAGCGAAAAATCTATACAATCGTGAATAATGAAACGACATCCAATATGTCGTTCCAAAGAAACCAAAGAAACCAATATGTCGTTGTGTAATTATTATTCAGCGCTAGATTGTTGTATAATTTCATTTGAGTAGTTAAAAGGTTAAATATACGTATTAGAAAAGTACGTTATGAAATTCCAGGTATAAGCGATTAATAAGATGAAAATCTAAAAGCTGTCAAAGCTGCTAGTTGTGTCATGACATTTTTCATAAAAAGTTGCCTTAAGAATGTTTTTTCAGATTCACGAACAAACAAAAAATAAATAAGTTATAGGCAAAAAACGAAAAAGTCATTTTTTTGTTTTTCGGCCATATTTTAAAAACTAAAACGGCTAGATCCAAAAGCTTAGTTGAAAAATGATGAGCTCTAAGATACGCAACTTTGCTCCTATTTAACCATTTCTCTATCTCTTATGGTTTCTGAGATCTCAATAGTGGGGTTCGAATTTTAATTACCCTGTAGATCAACCCAACTCAGTAACTAGAAAAATATAAGTCGAGCTGCTACAATGATGACCTTGAACGCAAAGTACAATTGTATGTAGCGCCTCGGCCGCAACCAACCTCGGTTTATATTCTTGCTGCCGCCGAGTTGCTACAAAGGAGATTGTTAAAGACAAAGAATGATCGAGATTATAAAATATTCAAGCCGAGCAATTTTAAGTTTGCAATTTTTAACAGTTATAGATCAACCCAATCCTAGGTTAGGAACAATATAAGCCAAGGTCGCTTGCGACCGAGGCACTACAATGATGACTCTTAAACACAAATCACGATTGATGTGGTTGCAAACGACCAAGGGTTATATTCGTGTTACTAACGGGTTGCTACAAAGAAGATTGGTAAAGATTAAAAAACTGAATGTTAGTCAGAAAACTAGTTAAATGTTTGGTCAAGTTTGTGGAATTCTGGAAAACAATAAAGACCTGGAGAGTTTTAGTTTTAATAGTAATTCAGTACTAGATTGTTGTATATTTTTATTGAACTAAAAGTCGAACTAACACTAGACCTAGAACTAGAGACAAGCTAAGTAGTGCTAATTAGCACTAGATATCACAATGTTGCACATTTTTATTGAACTAAAACTAGAACTAACACTAGACCTAGAACTAGAAACATTCGGGTTTAGCCTTCTTGAGAGATGTGCGGCTAAATCCGAATGTTTCTAGTTTTCGGTCTAGTGTTAGTTCTAGTATTGCACTATCACTAGAACTAACACAAGACCTAAAACTAGAATCAATCGGGTTTAGCCGTCTTGAGAGACGTGCGGCTAAATCCGAAAGTTTCTAGTTCTCGGTCTAGTGTTAGTTCTAGTTTTAATGGTAATTCAGTGCTAGATTGTTGTATATTTTTATTGATCTAAAAGTCGAACTAACACTAGACCTAGAGCTAGAGACATTCGGGTTTAGCCGTCTTAAGAGACGTACGGCTAAACCCGAATGTTTCTAGTTCTAGGTCTAGTGTTAGTTCTAGTGACAGTGCTAAGTAGTACTAATTAGCACTAGATATCAAATTGTTGTACGTTTTTATTGAACTAAAACGAGAACTAACACTCGAGGTTTTACTGTACATGATTTTAAATAAAAAATCATTGACTATAGATATAAATATCATTAAGCTTTTGTATAGTTTTAAAATTTCGTAGTAGATGATTTAAATTTCTCTGAATATTAAATGTTTTCGATTACGGTATAAATCCCGAGTTGGTTTTATCGAATAACCTGTCAACTCATTGATGATAAGCCTTTTTGCGATTCTAAAACCCATCCAACCTACCATGTTGGTAAGATGATTTTGTAATCTTCGTTTTGTTTGAAATTAATTATGTATTAATGCATATCTACATTTCGTTATATGATAGTCTTAATGGATATTGAACAAAAAAGAAAGGGGGAGCGGGAATATAAATGTGGCTATATTTATGGAAGAATCAACGATGGGTGTACCCGCAGAAGAATAAAGAAGCATTCTTATTAGTAGGTATTAGTTTTAATTTGAGATTTATAAGTTTCTCTTTACACTTATTTCTTTTTTTTTTATTATTGCAGTAAGAAGTGCCAACGAAGGATTTATTGTAAACCATAAATTTTCACCCTCCCTAAGGAATTTCTTAAACATGTCTCACATTAAAATGGGGTAACAAGAAACTTCCTGTGAAATTCTTCGTCTCCGCTTAGTAAGTTGGAATTAGAATTCTTTTAGCACGTGCCATCAAATCAAATTAAAATCAACAGAAAAAAAGTTTATGCTAAGTGTTAAAATTAGTGGTTGTAACGGGATTCTTTGTCGTTATCCACAGGTAATTTTCCCGCATTGTCGGCGTGAAAAGCCATGCGGGAAAAACGATACCATATCTTCCACGCGACAACTTGGATAGAGGAAGTGCTCGAGTGATAAGTATTATCTTTCCTGCCGTTTCAACCGACATAGTTTTCAATGATAATTAACCAGATATGCAAAGTGTTTCTATTCAAAGTGTGCGTGAAAATTGCGCTTTGTTCTAGTTTGTTAATATAACGATATTAGTTGAACCAAATGGTTTTTGAAGAAGATTTTTAAGATTGATGTGTTTGAATAAAGATCCGGAAACGAAATAGAACTTCCTTTAGAAAAACACGAGTTTATCGTTTTAGTTGTTTGTTGATAAAGAACGAACCGATTAGTGCTTATTGTGAACGACGTGCTGTTATCGGCTCGAAACAGTAGCTCACAAATATAGGACCTATCGCATTATTATCTGTTAACTGTGACAAAATGTTTATCTAATGGTGCGATAAGAGTTATTTACATTTTTTGTTTAGAACTCGTTAATATCGCCAAGCACGTTTATGATCTGTGACAAAAAGATTTATTTTGAAATATTTCAACATCATTTTAGAACATCTCAATTTATCCTTCGTTTTGCCACGGTTCGGTGTGTTTCAATTAAGCTATCTAAGAAATGGTTCCGCGTTACTCGGCCCTAATTGAAGACCAATATAAACGGATAAAATACGGATCAATTAAGTACAACCCCTCCCAAAGAAATTTTTTTTACAAAAACAAAGACAAAAAAGTCTTCTTCGACGTCCTGCTATTAGCAGCATCTGATCAGAACTCCTCATCTTTTATCCTTTTCTTTTCTGATGCACCTTCCTCCTCAGGACTTGGAAGAGTCCTGCTGCAACGATTCCTTCGCGGCCATTGCGTTGATGACGTCACGACGGCCGTCCTTTAGGGGTTAATACACGCTAAGCTCCGCCTGATTTTAATCCAACCCCTCCACCATTCAAACCAGCCCAGCACCAGATCTTTTCTTCGATCCAACTCTTGTAAATGTATATATGAGAATACTTATTCTGTTAAAACATTTCGAATGTAAATCGAGTAAAATTATCTTCGTTTCTTGTATTATTCTTTTTAGGCACGGAGAGAAAATGTAAACGGCTTAATTAAGACGAGATTGATAAAGAATAATAACGGAGAAAAGGATTGAGGAAAATGAGACAAATCGAAATAGAGTATATGGGAAAAGTATTGTAAGTTGTGGCAGTATGAGACGTCGTCGTTTTCTGATTATCTGGCGAATGTTAGTCTAGAAATGTGAGACGCATAATCAACCTGCGTTAATAAACATGCAAATCTGACGCGGTCATAAAGTGTGCTGGAGCGATGACGATAAGAAAAGCGGCCGATCAATGAAACGAACGTGTTTAGAAACGAGAAGTATGCGGGAAATTTTAATTTAATCACTTATTATACAATTAACACTTTACGTTTTACA